CCGCTGTCGTAGGCCGTGTAAGAGAATACGGCTTCCCAGGGGCGCTCCCGGTCGAAGTCGCCCTGGAACTTGCCCTTCTCCACCAAGTCCTCGATCTTCGTGCGGACCTGATGCCAGCGCTCCTCCAAGCAGTGGCAGACGGTCAGGAAAACGGCCCCCCAGTCACGGGGGAAGGTCGAGTTGAGGAGCCGCACCCCTTCCTCAAAATCGTCGATGGGACCCGGCCTCGAAAGTTGGAGCTTGATAGCCGCCACGCGGAAGACTCGCCAGCCCTTCCGCCAAGTCTCGAAGTTCTCTGGCCCGGCGAGCTTCTTCTTCACCAGCTGGCCGCTCACCCAGACGTCGGCCTGGAAGTTCATGAGCCGCTGGATCCGTTTCCCAAAGGGTCCGAAGACACTGAAGTCGACGTGCGGCGCCTCGCCCGCGGCGAGCCGGGCGGCCAGCGCCGAGAGCTGGACGTCCGTCGTGTCCTCGTAGTCCCTGGGCGGGCGCCCAGTCTCCCGCACGTAGTTCGCGTTGAGTTCCTTGAGCTTCAGGGCAGGGAGCATCGTGAACTTGATTTTCGACCCCTGGTCGATGACGCTGCTCATCTCGTACACCTCGGGCTGCTGCGCCGGCGCCGCCGCCGCGGCCTGCGGCGCCTGCAGGGGCCCCTGGCTGACCACGGGCGGCATGTCGCCCAGGAGCGGGGGGGGCAGCCCCACCGCGTGCGCCAGGCCCCGCAACGAGGCGCGGAGCTGGCCGCGCGCGATAGGGGTGATGTCGACGCCCTCCTCGGTCTTAACCGCCCACAGCGCCTCGTACATGTCACCGTCGAGGCTGCCGTACACGTCGCTCACGGAGGTGCTCTCCCACGCGCCCCCGAGCGCCTCCACGTAAGGCTTGAGGAGATCCTCGGAGAAGCCCAGCGACCTGGCAGCGGCGCCGAAGGTGAGGCCACGAAGCGCGGCCGTCGTTCCAGCTGACGCGACGCCTGCCCCGCCTGGCCCCCTCGAACCGGCACCGCTCTCTGCCCCGCCGACTCCCCCGCCCGCCGCGCGGGGTGGCACCGCGAACCCTGCCGCGGGCTCCACGCCAGGCGCCGCAGGCGGGAAGAGGGACATTGCTGGTGGCGAGCTGTGTTCCTGGCAAACTAAGGCCACTCTAACGTTTCGCAACTCGCCGGCTTCAGCCAAAACGGCCACGTCCGGCGAAGGCTAGCGAGACGCCATCCTGAGCCCGCCCTCCACCCGGATCAGAGTTAAGAAATTGTTACACACGTCCTAACGGCCACTAGCAACAAAACGTACGACTGATAAAAAGGGGAGGGGGTAAAAGGGAACGGCCCCACTTGCCTCACGCAGCCGCGTGCCGCTCCCGCAGCGGAACGCTGCGCCCGAAAAAATGCAGTTTGAAACTCGCTGGCGCAAGCACACGCTCCGATCAGGAGGTGCACCACGACGAAATCGCACTGGAACCACGACGGGCCGACAGCCCAGCTAGGCTGCTGTGGCGACCAGCAGCTCGGCCGCTCGGCCGACGCGGTCCGCACAAAGCGCGGATCGGAGATGGCGACCGGATCGGAGATGGCGCACACAGCGGAGACCAGCGCGGGGCCACGCTCTGATCCCGGCCGCCTGTGTCCAAGGCCAAGGGCACCATGCCCCGCGGGGCGTGGGCAGCCGGATGGCGTCGGCGTCTGTCGGCCTCTGTCTCAGCGATGACCGCCCCGCTTCGCCCAGCCGCTGCAGCAAGGTGAAGTCTTCAGGAGAACGTCTCCAAGTGGGCTGCGCACGGTCTTGGCCCCCAGGTAGCACATACACACGTCCGCCCTTGTCCTCGTTTACACGTGAGCGCAGCAGGCCGCTTCAATGTGGGCGGACCTCTCGGAGCCAGGGCAGGGCAGCCACAGCACAGTTGCATGCTGCATGCCAGCATCTCGGGGCCTGACACGAGAGTGAGTAGAACCACTGCGCACGCTTCGCGCCAGCCCAAGTTCTAGTTAGCTTGGGCGCCAGGGCGTAGCGTTGAAGGGGGACCCGTAGCATAATAATCCAGAATCCGAGGGCGCCGAGGCGTCTTAGGATCACGACGCTTGTGGATGCTATATGGCCACCTCCAGCCGAAAAGTGTGAGGTTTCAGAATTAAACGATACAACGGCACCCGTGGCATGGGAAGCAATTATCGAATTCCCTGCGCGTTCGCTAACACCACAAACAATATGAACTCCCGGAGGCACCACCGAAATATCCCCCGTGCAACATCGTGGCACACAAAATGTTAGCCAGCGTGAGCCCCAAACAACAGGTTCTTGCAGTCTATGCGGTGCGACCTAGGTGGTGCAACGTATGCGGTACAGCGTATGTAACAGTCTACGTAATGCAACCCATGTAATACAATCATGTCGGGACCGGCGTCGGCTTATGCAATGCAACCGCGGCGACGGGAGACGTTGGTTCTTTGACGCAGCGCAGCAACACGCACTTGCAGCTCACACGCACGTTCTGGAACACACTCATGAAGAGCTCCGAAATCATTCGTACACGCAGTGCAATACTCTTTCTGCTCTTTGGGCTTGGGTTGGCGACGCTCGGCTGTGAAACACATCAGCACATAACGCTGCAATGGTAAAGGTGTCTACGCATCCCTCGCTCAACCCACTTTTGCGAGCCAGCGCTGGAACAGATCTCTTAGCATCTTGTTCGGACACTCGGGCTTACATATCTGCCTGCCGCCTGTTGTTGCATGCGTCGCCTATGCCTGTTTGCTCCACAATTCGCTTGTGATCGACGATCATCAAAAAACGTGCCACATTTTCGCCAGCAGTCGTACCTGAGTTTCTTCAGTGCAAACGTGCGCCCAAGATTGCGGGGGCCTTGGGACCGATCTCTGTGTTCCAAGCAGCGGGACTGGCCCTAGCAACCCCATTTGCGGTAGAGGTCTGGACATAGGGGTAACTACCCTGGCCCTGCTCCCCGTTGATCCGTTAGGTGTCACGGCTGTCCTCGCACCTCTTGTCGCCTTTCCCTGCCTCTGGCGATGCCGATCGCAAAACACTCGTCGCCCAGATCACAAAGTGATTCCAGACGCGCTAACGCCCACGATGGACGGATGAGGACGGACGAAGGGAAAAGCAGAAAGAGAGAGGAGGGAGGATAAGAAGGGGGGACAAGGAGAAGGAGGAGGGAAGAGGGAGGAGGAGGGAAGAGGGAGGAGGAGGGAAGAAGGAGAGTGGGGGGAGGAGGGAAGGAGGAGCGAGGAGGCATGAAAATGGAGGTGGAGGCAGGAAGATGGAGGAGGGGGAGGAGGAGGAGGAGGAGGAGGAGGAGGAGGAGGAGGAGGAGGAGGAGGAGGAGGAGGAGGAGTATGGAGCAGCAGCAACAAATTGTATGCCCCAGCCGCCGCGTCCGCGCTTCCTCTGGAATGGGCGGCCGCGCGACGCCGCGGGCGGCCGGCGCCGGCGCCGGGGGGGGCCCCCGCGGGCGGGCCGAGAAGAGAGGCCGCCTGCCGGCAGGCCGGGCGCAGGCGGCGGGAGGAGGGAGGAGGCGGAAGGCTGCAACGGAAGGGAGGAGGGAGAGTGGAGGGCGGAAGGGTGGGGGGGTGGGAGCGCCAGTGGGCTGCGAGGGCGAGAGGGAGGGAGGGAGGGAGGGAGGGAGGGAGGGACGGAGGGAGGGGAGGCATTGACTGAAGGATCTGAGCACGAGGCGTAAGCTGTCACACGGTGCCACGCAATGGTGTCGAATGGAGTGTACCGACAAAGTGTGCAATGGCTTATACCGATGGTAACAAGCCTAGTGTAGCATGTGGCACTCTGCCTTCGCGTTATAACGCATGGCACCTTTAGATTCGATAATGTATGCCACGCTGTGGATGCGACGCCAAACAATTTAACTCGACCGTGCAACGTACCATGTGTTTATATATGCTTGACTGTCTGTGACAATGACCGCGCGCGTCAACATGTGTCAGTGTTTATGTCAGCATGGCAGGGGGAATCATTGACTTGCATAGCCGCGCATAACGAAGCATAGCGTAACAGATCATGGCATGACAGATCCGAGTGTGTATAGCATGCCACGGCGCAGGGCAGCACAGTATGGCATATCACAGCTTTGGCAAACCATAGCGATAGCACTGCATAGCATTAGTACAGCACCATCCGACAAACAAGTGCCCTCCAAAGGAACTTCCTGCGCCGACCTCCAAGACGCCCAGGATGCCCCCCCAAGATGGCATCCAAGACGGCCCAGCACAATCCAAAATTGCTTCCAAGGCGCCTCGAAGAAGGCCAACATAACCCCTGGACGGCCCAGTGTTCTTCCAAGACGGCCCCAGCTGGCCTCAGGACTATCCAAGCGGCCCCAGATACGGCCTAAGAGGGCTCAAGAGGGCCTGAAGAGGGCACAATTATTTATTTGCCTTTGGAAAGTGAAAGACGTTCGCGTTCTCGCCTTCTCGGCCTTCCAGCAGACGCAAACGGGGCCCAAGAGGCCTCCAAGATAGCCCCGAAACGGCCCCAACCCCCAAGAGGGCCGCAAGACAGGCCAAGAGGGCCCCGGCCAAAGAGGCCCAAACACGGCCCCAACAGGGCAAGAGGCCCCTTGAAAGCCCCATAGGTTCCCCAAGAGGCCCCGAAGAGGCCCCAAGAGGCTCCCAGTAAGCCCCTCAGAGGCCCCCCAGAGGCCCCAGGAAGCCCGTAGGAGGCCCCAAGAGGCTGCCAAGAGGCATCTTCGCCCTCCTTCTCCTTCTCCTCCCTTTCTTCCTCCTTATCCTCCTACTCGATTTCTCCCTCAATTGATCCTCCAAGAACTTCCACAACGGCTGGGGAAACACATAGTCCAATAGGCTGGCCAAGCTTTGGCCCAACGTTTGGCCACCTGGGCGTTTCCAGAACGGAAAGTGGGGCGTTGACTCGCCCAAGGCGTCTTCGATAAGAACCGACAGGGATGCACCAGGACGAGCAAGAACACTGAGGCGCGGGGTATTACTTGGAAGCTGTGGCTGAGCGGGGCGGCAGTGCCTTGGCGGGCGGGGTGCCATCGACATAGACCTTCTCCACGTCGCATTCGCCCTCCTACAAGGCCCCCACCTTCATCCTCGAACCCTCTCTGTTCATAGTCCTCCGTGTACTCCTCGGCCTCTCCCTCATGTTGCACAATCTCCTCCTCTTCAATTCGAACCAACAAAGCGGAGCGAAAAGTGTGATCGATATTCCTCTGTTTGCACGAGTGCACTTTCAATATTCAGCTCCAGCGCGCTGACAGCAATCGCTGAAAAAACATTTCTTGCGCGACCATCTCAACATTGAATCGAACTTGTACTTGACAAACGAGAATATATGCTGGCTTAACTCCCCTACGCGTTTATCACAAAAGCATGTTCACAACAATCTCGACCTCGCGACGGTGCCCCCACTCAAGCTCATGGTCCTCCTCTGGCAAAAGTCTGCTCATGATCCTGCTGATTCTCCTGATCCTGCGCATCCGTGGTTTTTCCGTTCGCTGCAAGCTGATTCCAACTGACAAGGCACAAGAAAGATCGCTGGACGGTGCCGCGAATGTCATCTGCGTTACTGGTTCAGATATTCACGAGCTTGGCCGCACAGAGAAAACGGGCGCGCACGAGACCACAAGACTGCCATGGGGAGCGTCCGCAAGTTCTGTCGGTTACGCCTGAAGACGTTCCGCCTAAGTAATCAGTAGATCCATCAACTGCCAACGACACCAAGCTGAGCGACACCAGCCGCTGCCGCTGTGAGCCCACCAATGACAAAACGGAGCCCGTGTTGAATCGTCTGGTTGAGGTAGTGCGTGGATGGTGGTGACGATATCGCTTTCGCACGTCACCTGAGGTGGTGGGGCCTTCTCAGGCGAGGTATTCATTCGCGAGCCGATCTGCACGACGGAAGCCCAACCGAGGCACCGAGGGGGTCCGCCAGTCGTCGCATAGGAGGGCGCATACACTGCTTCCAGCTTTTTTGCACCACTCCCACTTGAGGGACCTCGAATCGAAGGCTCACTCCTGGAGGCCAGCCAGCAGTCACACGCCGCCCGATGCTTGGGAGTCCCAAAACGGTGCGGTGACAGACCGTGCGGTGACCTCGAAATCCCCCAAGACCTCACCGCACGGTCCGTCACCGCACGGTCTTGGGACCGCGGAGGCCCCTGTCGCCCGAGACGTCCTCGGAGAACGACCCAAGTCCCCCAAAACCGTGCGGGGACCCCGAATCCCCACCGACTCACCGCACGGTGTGGTCACCGCACCATTTGAGGGCCCCGGCCCCGGGGCCCAGTGGAGGGCCTCCGGGAGAAGGGGGGGGCGAAAACGGCCAGGAGCCTCCCGCAGTTCCCCTTGCGACGCGAGCCTGCCTGGGATAATCCCCCTCCTCCTCCTCCTCCTCCTCCTCCTCCTCCTCCTCCTCCTCCTCCTCCTCCTCCTCCTCCTCCTCCTCCTCCTCCTCCTCCTCGTCCACGGACAGGCCCGGCAGGCCCAGCCTGCACCTTCGGCCCACCCCCCGCCCCCTTCCCGCCCGCTCCTTCCCCGCACCCCTCCCCCGCGAGGATAGCCCTCCTGCGCCCGCCCCGCCCCGCCCGCCTCTCAGCAGGGACCGGCCGTCCCAGCATCCCTATAGCCCTGCCACGAGATGTTCGTAGAACCCCAAAAATATTAGGGACCCCACCAAGGACGTACGCGCCCAGCTATGTACATGAACGCGGCCCCCTGACCCGCGAGACCTGCCGCGTGATACGAACATTCGTGCAATGCGAACTCTCGAAAACAGCGTGGATTCATGTACGTGTACGTCCTTCTTTCGCTCCTGAAATGTTTTAAGAACAAGAACAGTGTTCTTAGAGCATACACCCGACGGGATAAAGTAAGGCAGCCCCCGCCAGAAGTGTTCTGAGAACATGTCGTGGGAACCGCACAGGGTCCTTAGAACAGTGTTCGGTCGGGCTATAGGCGAGCCAGGACGCTTCGCCACTGCTTGACCCTGCGCCCGCCCCGCCCCGCCCACCTCCGCCCCCCCCTCCTCCCTGGCTCGCTGACGCCTCCCCCCCCCCCCCACGCGGCCCCCGCGCGGGGCGCCCCAGGGCCCATCCTCCAGGATGTAGAAAGTGTCGCCGGCCTCGCCCTGGGTCACTACCTTCGTGCCCTGCGGCAGAGCCGCGCTCCCGCTCCGGCCGGGCGCAGGGGCTCGCACCGAGGGGGGGAGGAGGAGGAGGAGGAGGAGGAGGAGGAGGAGGAGGAGGAGGAGGAGGAGGAGGAGGAGGAGGAGGAGGAGGAGGAGGAGGAGGAGGAGGCGGAGGAGGAGGAGGAGGAGGAGGAGGAGGGAGGAAGAGGGGGGGACCACAAGCGAAGGTGACGGAGATGTGGGATGGCGGGTGGGATCGGAGCTGAGATACCCGAAATGAGGGGGAACGGGCGCATATGGAGGCGGGGAAAGGGGAAGAAGGGGACGCTTTCCTCGGACGTTGAAAATCTGCCGTGACGTGGGCCACAAGGCATCCCCACCCTTTCCCCAAGGCCAGCGTGAGTCGTTTTGCTCACGATCCGTGGGTGGCCAAACGCCATCCGAACATGTCGTGATTGTTACCATGCAAGGTTGTCCGGTGAGGGGGGAGAAGAGGAAGGACGGACGGAGCCGACAGGAACAACCGGAGACGGTGAGGAGAGGGGCGGTGGCATGCTGACGAGGACTCCACCCGCCTGCGTGCACGTCTCCACACGGAGGGCGTCGCAGAGCTGGGAGCGCTCGTAAGCCTCCATGGACTTCAGCAGCGGCACCCCCTTGAGAAATTCCTGACGAGCGCCTCCTCCTCCTCGTCCTCAATTATCATTATCATCATCATCATCATCATCATCATCATCATCATCATCATCATCATCATCATCATCATCATCATCATCATCATCATCCTCATCCTCATCCTCATCCTCATCCTCATCATCATCATCATCCTCATCCTCATCATCATCATCATCAGCATCATCATCATCATCATCACATCATCATCATCATCATCAGAAGCATCATCATCACAATCATCATCATCAACATCATCATCACCACCAGCACCACCACCGCCATCACCATCATCATGATCATCATCATGATCATCATCATCATCATCATCATCATCATGATCATCATCATCATCATCATCATCATCATCATCATCATAAGCATCAACATAAACATCAGCATCATCATCTGGAGCAGCAGCATCGTCGCCATTATCATCATCATCATCATCATCATCATCATCATCATCGGCATCAGCAGCAGCAGCAGCCGCATCGTCATCATCATCAGCAGCAGCATCGTCAGTATCATCATCATCATCATCATCATCATCATCATCAGCAGCAACATCATATGCCTCAGAATCATCATCAGCAGCATCATCATCAGCAGCATCATTGCCTCATCAACAGCATCATCGTCGCAACCATCAGCATCATTTATCAGCATCATCATATTCCTAAGTCAGCTTCATCATCATAATCATCAGCATCAGCATCGTCATCATCAACGGCCAGCATCATCAGCAGCATCATCAGCAGCATCATCATTATCAGCATCAGCAACATCACCATCATCATCGTCAGCACCGTCATCATCACCAGCATTACCTTCATCAGCATCATCACCACAATCATCATCATCATCATCATCATCATCATCACCATCATCATCATAACCACCATCAGCATCATCATCATAATCACCATCATCGCCATCATCACAGTCAACATCCGCATCATCATCATGATCATCATCACCTTCATCATCATCATCATCATCCTAATCATCCTCATCCTCATCATCACCACCATAATCAAGATCACCATCACCATCATCAGCAGCATCGTCAGTTTCATCGACATCATCATCATCATCAGCATCTCCTTCTTCATCATCATAAACATCATCATCCTCATCATCACCACCATCACCATCATCATCAGTATCAGCATCACCATCATCATGATCAAAACCATCATCATCATCATCATCATCAGTAACAGCACCAGCAGCAGCACCAACAGTATGTTCATCACCATAACCATCATCAGCAGCACTAGCATCCCAAACAGACGGCCCCAGAAAAAAGAGAGGCAAAGGGAGGAGTGGCTTTTCGGGCGGAGGGGATGGGAGGGGGAGAAGGGGGCCTGGCCTGTTTCGCCTCCCCCTACACATCACAGCTTTTCCTGATACCTTCTCGGCGAACATGTCTGGAGACGGCAGAGGGGATCCTCGGATAAACGTACGCATTGATAGCTGAGATGGGCTTTACATGCTGGATCGGGCCTTCTTATGCCGGCTCTCATTCTTGACTCCAGTGGCCCTAGAAGCTTACGCGCACTGTAGGATGATGGCCCGTGTTCAAACCAAGTTCGGTCATACCTAGTTCGTGTTTTGCTTTCGGGGTCAAACATCCCTGAGTGGCAAACTGGGATGAGCAGCTTCCGCGCTGGCCACGGCTCCTCGTAGCGTTCGCGCCGCTTCACCGCCGCGTCCCGCACGACCTGGCGAGACGTGGAGCAGCACAGGAGGAAGCCGAGCATCTGTCAAGACCCCCCCCCAGTCGCGCTCCCGAGGTCAGCGAGAATCGTGCAACTGATCCGCGAGTGAAGCCGCCTCCTCCACTTCCTCACCGTGAACTTATCCCCCAAAACCGTTGCCGTGATTCCTCGGTGCCATGCGGAAGACGGAGCCCTTCCCCACCTCCGATGCTCTTCCGGTCTCTTCCGGCATATGGTCGGGCGGCGCGCGGGGGAGCCACGGGTGGCGGGTCGGACATGGTTGAAGGTCTCCCTGTCCAGCTGCCACAGTACGCCCTGGACCGCGAGAAACGCTGGCAAGGGGGAGGCCACGAGGCAGAAGGGAGGAGCGGGGAGCGAGAGGAAGGAAGGTTGTTGAGAGGGAAGGGAGAAGGGAGGAAGAAGGAGGAAGTATGGAGGGTGGCGAAGGGAAGGGGGAGGAGGGAGCGAGGGAGGAGGGGGAGGGACGGCAGGATCAGCACGAGCCCGAAAGGGGGAAGGGTTGGGCCGGTATCCTCTTCCACCTCCTCAGGCTCCAAATAATCAGATTCCTTCTCCGTCCAGCTCGACATCATAAACATTTCTCCCTCCTCCTTCCCCTCCTCCTCCTCTGGTTCCTTTGGTTCCTACAAGAGGAGCAGACCGCTCCGCATTCTTAATTACCTCTTCTCTGACGAGAGCTCAACTCCCAGGTTTAAGCCCAGGGCCCGCCAGGAAAGAAGAGAGGCCCGGCGCGGGCCTGGACACCTGGAGTTTAACACCGCGCAACCCTGGACACAGGGAACGGGAGGTCCCCGAACACGCCCGACTGGGGCCCCCGTCCTCCCCGAAGCCTGTCCAGGGCCCCACGCGCTAGCCTGGCCGTGTCTCGGCCCTTCCTGGCCAGGGGGCGCAGGCTCCTGACAGGAGCGGGGCCTGTCCCATCCCGTAGGCCCCGCAAGTCCTACAAAAGACGACGGTGTCCTCCCCCACCCCATGGGACCGCCTTCCAAGCCCGCCGACAAAGCCTATGGGACGGGTGGGACTGGGCATCCAGCCTGGGAAGCCCTTGGTTCTGCTTCGAAAGAAACCTGGCCCTAGACGCTCTCCAAATCCCACGGACCTCGCACCCCCAGGCTCGCCCGAGCCGTTGGAGCCGATGGCCCGCGTCGGGCCTCACCAGGACCAGGCAAGGAAAGTTTCGGGCCCGCGGACCACGGAGTTTTGCCCGATCGGGCCAGGCTAGGGCGGCGCGCCGTTTTGCCACTCCGCCGCTGCGGCGGCACCAGAGTCGGGCTGAAGCGGCGGCCTCGCTCAAGGCCAGGGCGCAGTTTCGCCCCTTGGCGCGCCCTCCTGTCCGCCTCCACGTTGCCCGCGTAAGCCTGGAAGCTGGCGCCGCACCCGCTGGCCCCCGCCCAGCTCGCGCGGGCCTTCGCCCACCTGAGACTGAGGAACTCGTGGCCGAGCTCCTTCTTCATGGCGAAAACACCTCGCCACAGGTCCGCGTGCTTGTGCGTGGCCCCGCAGCAGTGCCCCTCTTCTCGCTCGCGTCGGCCACGAGCCCCTTGCAGCCCGAGTAGACCACCGCGAGTTCTGGTCCAACCTCTTGCAACAGCCTGCGCAACGCGCGCAGCTCCGCGCCCCTGACATCCTGGATCCACGCAGGCGCGCAGCCGAACATGCTTCCGGGGACCTGCCCGACGTCTCCCACCATCACAGCTGCCCAGCCCGCCCGCGCAAGCCTGGCCTCCGTCGGGCACGCGGCCGAGCCGTCAACGCAGATCACTCAACCGAAATAGTCGCTGCGCGCCACGCCTGCCCCGCAGCAGAGCCCCTGTCCGGACCTGGGCCCCGCGCTCCTCGCGCCATCCCCAGGTCGTTCTCGCGAGGAGCTTCGCCCGCTTCAGCGACGCCCCGGCAGCCCGCCCCCCCCCGCCCAGGCCTGGCTGGCAGGGCGGGCGAAGAGGCGGTAGAACGCCGCGCCAGTCTCGCACCCGCACCACTGGCAAGACGGGATCGCAACCGCGCGCTCGTCGGACAAGTCGCTCTGCGTCGCCAGCCCTCCTGCGACGCGGGCGCCCAGCAGCTCGGCCCCCATCGAACTTGCCATCGAGGCGCATCTCAGCCAGCGCCAAGCCAAACGGTTCGATCTCTGGCGCCCTGCCTTCCAACTGCTCGAAGCCCGGGTGCTTGGCCACCTCCCTCATCGGATAGCGGCGCACCCCCCCCCTCGATTACGCTGGACACCACGCGGGGGCTCAGCACTCGCAGCTCTACGATCTGACCTCCGTCGCCCATCCGCTGGCCCCGCGCGAGCTGCTGCCAGCCGACCCGTTTCAGCGAAAGGAAGACCGCGCCTGCGGGGCCAGCGACCTCCCCCAGGTGCCAATCTCCGCTTCCATGACCCAAATCTTGAACACCGCCTCTGGCCAGTACTGGATGAATAATCCGCGTCCATCGATAGCTCTGGGCCCCCGCGCTACAAGCACCCCCGGACTGCAGGCGCCCCCTTCCCGAACGACAGGCACCTCTCCCCCGGGCAACGGGCGCCGCCCCCCTGGACCACAGCCCCCCCCCCCCTCCCCCCGGACCACAAGCATCCCCCCCGGGCCACAGGAGCCCCAGCGGGACTGCATCCAGGCGCTCATTGACGCGCGATCACGCGTTCCCCCCCAGACTGCAGCCCCCCCCCCAGACTAGAAGCAATTAAGGAACCCCCCGGGGTTATCATTAGCACCGCCCCGTAATTAAATAATTATTCTGGGGGGTTTTCGCCGAACGATATAATTAGCACCGCGCACTTGAAAGGAAAGTAAATAATTCCTGCGCCCCGCCTCGGATGGCATCCCAATTGGAAGTGTAATCAGAATAAGAATACGAATGAAAATACGAATAAGAACAATAATAAGAATAAGGCGAGTGTCACAGGTACTGTTGACACCGTAACTGTTACTGCTACCGTGATGACGATGAAACCTGATGGCGTGATGCTACTGTTACTGCTACCGTGACGCTACTGTTACCGTGATGCTAGGCGATGCGTGAGGGTGCTCAGGCGATTTGGACAATTCTGTTAAGCAATGTGAGGATGTCTCAAGCGATTTTGCTACTTCTAAGAAGAATTGTGAGGATGTATCAGGCGATTTGTGCCATTGTACTAAGATGTGTGAGGATGTTTCAAGCGATTGCTTCTTCTTCCTTCTCTACTCTTTGTTCTGATCCGCTTGTTTTTCCGATGAGGTTTCTATTGAAAATCCTTTAGATAAGTGCGTTTTTCTCGGCCGTCGTAAGGGGTGGTCCACCCGAGGGTATCGCCCCCACCCCACACCGTGGCGTCATCTTAGCACCCGGCCAAAACAAATATCCGTGTGACAGCCAGAACGCGCTCGTCGTCGCCGAAGATACGAAGATACGAACGAAGATAAGAATAATAAGAAGCAGAAGAGAACGAATAATACGACTAATGAGAAGCTGAATACGACGGATTGTAAGAATACGGATAATAAACATCGTTTTCCTCATGATCCTCATGGAATCGAGGTACTCCGAACAAAGCAGCGACCCTCGCAGACTACGAATGAGGATACGACTAAAACGAACGAATATACGAACGAAGGCTAAGAAGAAATGTGAGGATGTCTCAAGGGATTTGGCCAATTCGATTAAGACATGCGAGGATGTATCCAGCGATTTGGCCAATTCTAATTAAAAATGTGAGGGTACTCAGGCGATTTGGACAATTCTGTTAAGCAGTGTGAGGATGTCTCAAGCGATTTGGCAAATTCTGAGAAGAAATGCGATGATGTTTCCGGCCATGTGTGCAATTTTACTAAGATGTGTGAGGATGTTTCAAGCGATGTCCTCCTCTTCCTTCCCGACTCTTTGTTCTGATCCGCTTGTTTTTGTCCGATGAGGTTTCTATTGGAAATCCTTTAGAGAAGTGCGTTTTTCTCGGCCGTCGTAGGGGGTGGTCCACCCGAGGGTATCGACCCCACCCCGCACCGTGGCGTTATCTTAGCACCCGGCCAAAAAAAATATCCGTGCGACAGCCAGGTCGTGCTCGTCGTCGCCGTAATCGTCGGAAGACACCAATGGTAGATAGTTACTCCTGACAACCATGACATGGCTGAGAGGCCCAAACGAAGAACTAATGTTTCAGGCGATTTGGCAAATTTTATTAAGAAGTGCGAGGATGTCTCAGGCGAGTTTGCCAATTCTTATTAAGAAATGCGAGGATGTCTTAGGCGACGTGGCCAATTCTACAAAAAAAATAGGCGCCGTTGCTTCTTTCTGAGTACATAGACTCCTGCCAGTACCTGGACTACTGCCTCCGAAGGCCTCTGAAAATAAGAGCTCCCTGGGCCCTGAAAGGCCCTGGACCCCGATGGGGGAGGAGGTCAGGCGGATCGGCCGAAGGCCTCTGAGAATAAGAGCTCCCTGGGCCCTGAGAGGCCGTGGCCACTGAGGGAAGGCGAGGGGCCATTGGCTGAAGGCATTTCCAGGGCCCTGCTATGAGAACCCCTTGCGATACGTCTTGGACCGTCTTGGATTATTTTGGAACCTCTCGGCCATCTTGAATTATTATGAGGCTCCTTGGGCCGCGCAGGAACCGTGGGGCTCCCTTAGTAGAAGTAAGAGTTGGAGTAGGAGTAGGAGGAGAGGGAGGAGGAGTTGGAGTAGGAGTAGGAGTATAGGAGTAGGAGTAGGAATAGGAGTAGGAGTAGGAATACGAATAGGAGTACGAATACGAGTAGACGAATCGGCAAATTTTCTTAAGAATTGCAAGGATGTCTCAGATGATTTGGCAAATGCTTATAAAACTGCGAGGATGTCTCAGGCGATGTGGCGATTTCTATTAAGAATTGTCAAGCGAGTTGGCTTATTCTATTAAGAAATGTGAGGATGTCTCAGGCGATTTGGCATATTAATTCTATTAAAAATGCAAGGCTGTCTCAAGCGAGTTGGCCAATTCTACAAAGAAATGCGAGGATGGCTCAGGCGAGTTGGCCAATTCTATGCAGAAATATGAGGATGTCTCATGCCATTTCGCTAAGTCGATCAAGAAATGTGAGGCTGACTCAAGCGATTTAGCAAATTCTATTAAGAAATATGAGAATGTCGGATGTAATTTTGCCAATTCTATTAGGAAAATGTAAGGATGTTTCAGGCGATGTGGCCACGTCTGTTAAGAAATGAAAATGTCTCAGCCGATTTGGCAAATGCTGATAAGAACTGCGAAGATGTCTCAAGCGATGTGGCCAACTCTAATAAGAAATGTAAGGATGTCTCAGGCGATTTGGCCAAGTCTGTTAAGAAAT